TAAACTTTTGTTTGATAATTTATAGTTGGGTATGTTATTTTCACTATGCTTCTGTTTGCATAGCATTTGTAATTATCAGTCATTAAAAGAAAAAGTTTGAATATATGTTTTGTAATTCAATAGTTAAGTTGAGACACCAAAACAAAAGCCTGTCAAACAGAAGTATCTGTCGCATACCTGTTGACGATGAAAATGGCTGAGTAGTGATATTTTTTGTTGGGATACTGAATTCAGTAGTGCCATTATGCGTTGTCGTCATCATGGTACTCTCACTTGTGTTTCCAATATCACTCGGCCATGGCGACAAACGTACTTGGTGACTGCTGGATGCAAAGATTACAATGACGCACAGACAAGATAAAAAATGGTAGCCACACATCATAATGATCATTCTATGTAAAGAGAATAGACAGGTCACGTGATCAGTTTATAATGCGTACAGTATAACTTGAAACGTAGGTGGATTCTAAACGTATTAATAGAAACCTAAACGGTACTTTCAATATGTATAAAATTGTGATCAAAACTTTGAACTAAGCTAAGCTAACAAATTATACATTGGTGTTAGAAAGTTCAAGTTCACTAATCCCTTTTTATCCATTGCTCTATATTCGTTGACATTGTCAGATATCTGTAAATCAGACACATTTGCTCGATGCATCAAGTATATAGAGGTGTATTATCACAATGTGTTACCCCTGTAATTTAATTATTTAGTCTACCTCAATGATGATCAGAAAGTACGCGTAAAAGTAGTCGACCTTGTTGTAAAGACATATAATAATTATAGGTAGAACTAAAATGTCGCGTATAACATGTTTTGTTGATGGAAAGTAATTATGTTCTAGATATGAAAAAACATCTACTGGAACATTGGTAGTTGTTTGTGTTTCTCTTTTAATTTTTTTAATAGAAATATTTCCATCATGGTATTGTTTATTTTATGCTACAGAATTGTTAAGCAATGCAGGCATTCATAACATAGTTATCTGTAGAATATACATAATCCAAGTGTTGTGTTGTATTATCACGTTAAAGCACGGATACCGCTTGAACCATAAACACTTATTGTTTTCAAACGATGTATATTCTATAAACAATAGGTCGTATGCATTTCAAAACCAAATATACATTTGATAGTGATCAACGAACTGCTCGGCTGGGATTATAATTTTGTATGTATTGAAATTAACAAATGGCGCCTTGGGATAATATGAGATTATTACGAGGATACCTCAAAGTATGCACGAAGACAGTACAGCTGGAGTATCGACGGTGTACTGTCTGAGTGCATACTTTGGGGTATCCTCATAATAACCTCATTATTATACATCTTTTTCTTCCAAGGATACATCAAAAGGTTTAGAACAGAATCAGCGAACTTCTTTGTGTGCAGTCCGGTCAAACCCTGGTGACAGCCATGTTTTTTTTTATTATTAGAGGACGCTTACGCGCCTTATGGTAAGATGGAAATACCCCGTGAAATACCACAAAATGACGGCACGCAGTAACTTATGGCGTCACGGTGACAGATGTATATTAATGAAGTTTAATTTAATTTGACGCAAATTATATACAAGTATATGTGCATCATGGTTACTATCATAAACGTTTCTAGTTACTCTGATTGACAATATCAAATATTGATTTAACGTGACGGTTCTCAGTGTTTATATGTTTGCTGACTGTTTACTCAAATCGGTTATGCCTGTACATTTTTGTATATTATATCAACAACTTACACGAATGAATAGATTCTAATAACGCGCTTACTTCCCTATATGAACGTACATTGAACTTAGAACACATACATATATACATATTGCCCACACTATTGAATAACATACCTTTATAGACGCCGTGTACTTATACTTGTCTAAACCATATTTTCTCTGGGCAATACTTTGTAGTAGAATAACAATAAAATCAATGTGTACGGAAATATCTAAGGAATCTAAAGTTTTAAGAAAGTCGTTGGATTAAAATCATAGCACGAATAAACACGCGTAAGGCGTACTGTTATGCGATGTCAGTGCCAGTTACCGGGTGCCCGTAGTGTCGTCGCTGACTCGCCTAATCTGTTTAAATGAGAGAATCAATAACATATTGGTACCGTTCGCTCTATGACCCAATGCACGATCTGTTGCTGTACTTTGTACTCGTATAACATATACACCCCGACGTCACGTGACATGTTTCTGTAGCACTTCTGCCTAAGACGACCATGTTATCTGTTATACTCGGTTTAAGCGCGGGGGGGGGGCTTTACAATATTTACGTCATTAACGCACTATGGGGGATATATGTGTGAGTAACAATCCGCTAAATGTGGGAGGGGGGCTATACCCTCCTATATACTAGTACTCTCCCATTGAAT